GATACATATAAGAAAAACATTTTGTTCAATATCTGTTGACTCCTAAAATGCATCCTAAAAGACTAATCAATGAAACATTGTCTTATCAATATCAAAGAAAGAATTTTTTGAAAAACTCTTATGCGAAAATAGTTTGATGTTCACAAGATTAGAACTTATTTTCGTCATTTTTCTTACAATTTTGGTGACAATTTAGCAAATTACAGGTTTGAGCGACAGTCAACAATTTTTAGCATATTATTGCGGATAGTTTCCCTTTTATCTATATGTCATTAGATTCAAATTATTTTATTCAATATAACATGCCATAAAAATAACATAAACTTGTTGAGGTGAAACAAAAGACAAAATATAAAATGTATTTATTTGCAATACCATAATAGTACTTAATTTAAACGAATTAAAAATCCATACAAGCAAGACATTTCCGTTCATCAAAATCGGATCCAGAGTTAGCAAAATCGAGAGTAAAAGTTGTATAGAAATGTACCATCAGGTCAGAGTAAGCACGTTCTGCTTCGCGCGCGCCACAATCAGATCAATTTATGCCTTACCAAACAAATCAGATGTATCAGATGTAAGGAACAGATTTGTAATAATTGTCCAGAAGTTCGCTAATGGAAAATTAACAATAGGAAAATCAAAGTCGTCACGTTTGTCATAAAGACTGGCACAAAGATCATGATTGTTGCCAATTTAGAGAAGCAAGTTCAGTTAGGACTTAGTCTTAAAGTCGATAGTGTCTGTAATTTCCACCTCTCCTGTGTAGATTTTATCAGCAAAGTCTCCAAAAGCTGAGTTATTAAGTGACAAAACTCCATTTATGTATCGGGAAGTTGAATTGAGTTCTTGAATGAATTCCACCTTATAAGAATAAAGAAATTTGTCAGCAAGCAAAAGAGCACAATTAGTCTCCATAGGAATACCAATTACTCAATTACTTGCTGAAATATTTCTCCGCCAAATTAAGAAAATATTTCAAATTTAGTTCGAATACAACTACAACAACTCAGAATGAAGACCTAAATATCTTAAATCAAATAGTTAATTGTAATGTAAAATCAACTTACCATTGCTAAACTGACAGCAGAGAATCAACTTTAAAATAAAAAATAAACGCGTCTTCATTATGAAGTCCACCACAAATGGAATATTTTGATAAACTATGATTTAACTTCCCTCTCTCTAGACTGTTATCATCAACAAGGAAGATTTAAATCGGAAATTCCAATGCATTTACGCGCCAGCATATCATATACCAATGTGTATCAATAACATGTACGTCAATGTATAATTAATAGGGAAACTATAGTCTTGTCACAACTTCGTTGGAAAATCAAAATTTAAAGATATTTTTAGGGGTAATTCAAATATCAGCCTCAAAATAGTACTGTTAGAGTTAGCGTTGCAAAAAATATGAAACGAGAACACATTATCTTTTTGAAATTTGTTTATACAAAGGACAATTTTTAGCCAATATTATTGACATTGTTGGTTGAAATTTCTGAAAGGGAGTACTCTATACCCTATGTTAACTTAATGTTCCACATACGCCTCATACACAAAAGGGTAATACTCGGTGGACAAAACATATCGTCACCTCAGGTCTATAAGGTTCTATCTCCACTTTTTGAAAAACATGAGTTATTGGTACCGTTGAAATGAGCTTGGAAAGTTCTATCTCCTGATAAAATTGTAATTGGGTGTAAGGCTGTTCATACAGAAATACAGGCTATATTAGTATGGTTTATATCCATTATTGGTATTAAACTTATTTCCATAGTGTTCTGTGTCCAGAATCCAATCAGTACGTACCATTCTTATCACGTGACGTCAAATCAACTAACAGTTCTCTCTCTTTTCCTTGCCTTGACAAAATTCCACATGGTGTGATTTTAAAAAGATTTTGGCTAAATTTCAATGGATGTAAAGTATGTTTGGTGATTTTATAACTTCAAAAACCATTATAAGCTAGTAAATAAAATTGATTTTTAAAGCATTATAATTAATTTGATGACTATAACTACAAGGCAAAATTTTTTTGGATATAGAACAGTATAGCTCTAACCAGATATTGACTTTTACAATACATGTTATTTCTATTTATCTATATCAGAAAAATAGATGTTTAATAGTAGGTTTTCTTTCAATTTTCAGATTGAATCAACTAGAAAATCTCCCGGACTTGCCCCTAATACACATATTTTCACATTTAAGACTTCCTGAATTAATTTTAGTTGTAAACAGAGTTTGCAGAAGATTTAATCATATAATTTCGACAACTTCAATTCTTTGCAAGAATTTATATTTGACTTTACACTTGAACTCTTAGAAGAGGATTTAGAATATATTTTTTCTAAAGCTTATAAATTCAAAACTTTTGATTGTGGCCGGGCTAAATACTTATGTGAATTGGCCGACGTAGATTATTATTTTA